CCACCTTCACATTGCTATTCCGTCTCCTTTAGCATCACAGTAATCACCATACCAGATCAAGCCTTAAGTACCTCAGCTCAGCACTCTGCAACAGATGCCTCCCCCAGCAGTGGTAGAAGCTGCAAGAAGCCAGCTATGAGAACAGGCTCCCCTTCACGCTAGCACTCTTCCGGCTCTCCCACCCACACATTGACTTAAGCCTTAAATCATCACTTATGATCCCTTCTGCAAAATATACATGGACATAGTATGGGATCACTGCATCCACCTGTGATTACTTGATTTTTGTGACTTACTCACACTTCCACCAAATAAGCAAATCTTTACTTACTGTAAGAGGCAGCTATCATCCAAGGTGCTTTTCACAATTATCACAATAAACAGCTCTTCCAACTTAAATGGATACCAACCACCCAAAATCACCTTCCAGAATTAAATATATATAGCTACTGTCCACTCTTTAAAGCATTTTTTCAATCTCCAAATCCCAACTCACCTCTCTTGAGCTGTTGCCCGCTTTCATTCGTGGAAGTATTTGCTTTACTTTATTCGAATCTGTATTGCCTTGATCATTTGCATCCTTCCTGAACTTCTTCGTGGTAAAATGCAAAGGGCGAAAACTCCTGCTGTAAGCGTAGGTAGAAAGGTTTGCTAAAATATACTAAAATACCTGATTAAACAGCTAGTCAGATTGTGGAAAACTTTACACCAGAAGCGAACACTTGAGGCTCCCTGAAACCTTGCGACAGGGATTCGGGGATCCAGCGCTCCGTTGTAACATGGAAAAACCTTGTGTGCTCGTGCACGGCATTTTCCTACACAGACTCCCTTCTGGTATTTCTCAGGCACCAGAGGGTTTGCTCCCATTACCAGGACGCAGTAAAAGCGCAGGGTTCTGCTGTTCACCGCTCCTGCTGCGTGATGGAGCAGCACACGAACGCGGCTCCTTCACAGCGCACCCTCCCACAGCAAGAGCAGCCCAAGTGCCAACCCCTGCTCTGCAAGGGGACATGTCACCCCACACGCACACTTTTTGCACAGCGGTTTTCAAAAAGCTTCATTTTAAACAACACTGATTTCACCACGATCTTTTATAATTGAATCAATCTAGTCTTTCTGTAAAGAGTGGGTGCAAGAAACTACCTGATAGAGGATAGGGGGAGGGGGAAGAAAAGCCCACACTATTAGCTGTCTGATATTTATTACTTTTTTAATACAGAGGAGTCACAACAAAATATTCTCTAACAACACACGCAAATGATATCATAACCAATTATTTTAATTTCATCAACATTCATTTTTATGTACATAGTCTTCCTTCTGCAAAAGTGCAATCCAAAAATGTCTCAACACGAAACCTTTATGGACAAAAATATTTTTGAGGACTTTTCTGAACAGTGGCCTTCAACAACATGTTTTTCCTTGGTTATCTGGTACAACAAAATGAAGAGTACACTAAAATAAAGAAACTGGGTTAGATGCCTCCCTTGTAAAAATATTCCCTATTTTCCCAACTAAACTCTTTTATGAATATAGTGCTCACTACTGAACAAATTAACACAAATAGACTACAGAATAGTCTATGGGATTACAGAGCATGGTTGTTTGTAATGACTTTGTAGCATTAGATAGAACAAGAAATTTCAGCCTTCTCACCTTGATGTCAAATTAGACATCAGCATTGGAAAGATGTCCCTTGTGTTAGTCATGGTTATCAAAATTTACTTTTGAATGTCCTACTGATGGATGAATTCATTTACATGTCCAAAACGTTAAGTCTATCTAAATGCAAGCCTCTCCTATGGAAAACATATTTAACTACTGGAAATAAAAGCATCTGCACATGCAACTCCTATAACTATCACCAGGAGTATCGTGCATTTAAGAGGAGTAGAATGAACCTCCAAACCCAGAGGACTATTTTCTGTTTTAAAAAACATGTCTCAGGCACAATTTAATCTGACCACAGGCCAGATTAAAAGGAACACACAGCATCAGACAAACGAAAGGTAACGAAGAGCAAACTTCAGTCGAACAAGCAAAGCAAGCAGCTCCCTATCTAGGCAAAACATTTCCCTTTTGATACATTTAAAAGCTCATGACTATTTCCATTGCTCATTAAGACGGAGAAGAAACAAACTGCAATTTAGTTTAACCTTTTACATTAATGAGCCACAAAGTCCCCAAGGAGGCAACTCTGCCTTTGTACTTACAAAGAAACTTTTATAAAGTCAAAGAAAGGGGCCCACTACTTGACTGGAATATTATGGATGTTACAAAAACAAAAAACAAAACAAAACAAGAAAACCCTGCACTTTGCAGTAACTTGAGACCAGTTGTCAGTCTCAGCAAGAAATAGAGCAAGTGTTTTCTACAAATTAGGGACAATTTACTTTGGAGGGAAAGTTCAAAGGAGTCTTTCTGTAATTCAGCTGGCTTCCATCATGGAACATTTTTACTGTGCTACACGTTCTGAGGGCCTCCAGTTGAGAGATGTGTTTTGCAAGAAAATAAGTATTTCTTCAAGCAGTAACTATGACTCACCTAATATCATAATTAAAAGGGAAAGCTGATTGAGAACTACATTTCTTTTCTTTGATAGATCTGTACATATACATGCTTTTCCCCTCACTTTCCTGGTCTGCTTCTTGGATTTGAATTGAAAATACTGTTCAATCTTTCATATGCTTGTGCTTTTAAAAACTGGATGAATTTCTTTTCTCCACTTCCACTCATTCTCGATTGTCTTACACACACATATAGAGAGGCATCTAAGTACTCAAAGTCCAAAAAAAAAGAAAAAAAAAGAAAATGAGCAAGTATTTAGGAGAACTCCAGTTCTTAATTCTCCCCTATCATGTACACTGCATGGGGACAACTGTCCATGCCAAATGTGGGAAAAAAAATGGGTATAGTACACTCCTGTCATCCTGATAGCATATACGGGAACTGATACTCCAGACTCAAGGCATGAATGAGTAGCCCTCAAGTGCAAATACGAGTTACATGTGTTTCTTTTTATTTTTCCCATTACAAGAATTTCATTTTACCATCTGATTTAATAACGCTGGAATAGTCTTTTGTGTATCTATCATTTGTGCATCTATCATTTGCGTATCTGAACTGACTCTCACGGCCCTGGCAGGCAATACAGCTCCAGACTTTGCTAACCATTCTTAATCCATGAGATTTTTGGAACATACCACAGAAGCTGAAGGGCTCATCTTCCCTGCAGAATTAATTCGAATTATTAATTCATTGTTCTCCGTAAGGCAGACTTTCTCTGCTAGCCACCTCTTCTCCCAGTGGAGCTACGTGTGGGCTGCCCCTCCTAGGGACCGGTTCTGCTGGCCCTGGCGTTGGTGCGACTTGGCCTGCAGCAGCCCTACTGGGACAGTGTCAGAAGTTCTTCCCACAACTGGCCTTAAAAGGGAATCAAGTTTTCCCACAACAGTTGCAAGCAGACCTGTAGGCAACCAAGCAAGCCTGCACAGAAGAAAGCCACTGAAAAGCTTGCAGAAAAAGCCAAGGTTGTGCTCCAGACATAGAAACAAGCCCAGAAACAGTGAGGGGAGCACAGGCTGTCACAGCCAGGGGCAGCCAAGACCACTGGCCTGGAGTGCAGCACCAGCGCAGCTGCACGGGACGGACAGTGCAGCCTCCCCAGGAAGGGAAAACCACCAACGTGGGCCGCCCTCAGGACGCTCCCCGCGAGTTAACAGCTACTCATGGGGCCAACACAAGCCCTCAGTGCAGCACGAGTAATACCTGAAGAGCGGCTAAGGCTAAAAGGAGCTAATTCTGTGGTAAAGTCAGCCAGGAAATAAAACTGTCACCTTGGCATTCTTCATGCACTCAGAAACATGGATATTCAGTTCAAGTTTTACGGGCACATTAACTTCTTTAGCTTAACAGAGAACATAATTCTTGGTCCAGCACATACATGACCTTTTTGGCTTGTGACTTTTTTTTGTATTCTTTCACAGAGTATGCAAAGTATCAGGGCCATTTTCAAGATCATAATTTCAACAGATACATTCTTTAATACTCCAATTTGGGAAAAACATAATTTGTTTTAAAACAGTGTCTCAAAATTTATAAAGCAACAAGAAATAATCCCAGCTTTTAAAAAGTAGTAAAAACTGTACCTCCTGAGTGGACAGTCACTCCATTATGGAGATGTATTGTGGAGCAATGCAAAAAACAAACAAACAAAAAACCTCAATTGGCTTGCGAAGCCAAGCAAAAGATTAATGACCTATTTTAAAACTTTCGTTTAGGAAGGGAGAAATCAGAACCAAGAAACAACATTAGCAGAGTCTACAGGGCCAACCCCTGCGATACAAATTCATTGCCTAGTGTACAGTCTAATATATACAGCACACAGGCATGTAGAAAGCAATTGCACTAAATTTGCTTTCTTAATTAGTCTCCAAGCTTTTAAATCCTGGACTTACATAATTTTGAAAGACAAGGGTGTAACAATAATTGTTTTAAAAATCAATGCCAAGTTTCATAATAAGTACCTCTCGGGTCTTACAGCACTCACAGCCCAGCTCCTTCTTCACGGTCCTCTTTACAGACCAGCCACACCAGTCTGCAGCAGGCAACAAAGTCTCAGGCCCCACAGACACACACGAACACGTTCCCCTTCGGCCCAGCCCATTCCTCCCACATATCACAACAAAGTCCTAAAACATCCGTGAGGAAATACCTTTAAATAAAGCATTTTAGGATCTCCAGCCTGTTTTGGTATAAAAGAACGAGCTGAGTGCTGCGATCACCGCGGGGCTGTTGCCGTGCGGGCCGTCGCGGAGGGGAACGAACACCAAGCGCGCGTGGCAGGAAGACGCTACACCAAGAAAACTTCATGTCTGACTGCGTTTTCTGGCATAGATTTACATTCACTTGTCACAGTATCTTAGCTTGCCCCATCTTGGAAAACCTAAAAGAAAGCCGGCTAAGGGGACGAACAGATTAGGGCCATTAAACCGTTGGAATCAATGTGAAAGACTCAGTTAATTCAACAGTAACAGGATGACCGCTTTCCAAGGATTTCCCACTTCCACCAATCTAGAGGAACATCACCCTACAAAATTAACCACTTTCCAACGGACATATTTCTCTGTCCTGTATGTCTCCCCACACCTTTGCTACAAACCGTATTACAACAATACAAAAAATAAAACCAAATCATTTTTAGCTGAAATTTACCCCACGCTCGGGATATATTCAAAGGCCATTAAATTGGCTTGCCTCCAGCCTTCACAGGGATCTTGTCAGGAGGATCCTGGTTTTAACAACATGTATATATACATATTAATATGTACACAGACAAAGAAGCTGCTCTTTCAGTTAGAAAAGAAATTAATTTCATCACAGAATGAATCCTATAAAAAGATATGTAATAAAGTTGAAATACCCATAAAATAGCTATTACTAAAGCAAAGCTTTCGTCAATAAGCCTCCAGAACTTTAAACGAAGAGAATGGCTTCACAAAGTGGTAGTCTAGGTTTCCACAGTGTGGACACTGCTGCACGTTGCTGTATTCTGAGAAATACTGCATGCCAATCCGTACATCTATGACTGGCTTCCCACAGTGTTTACAGTTCAGTCGAGCCTGTAGAAAAGTAAAAAACACTTTTGAAATAACAAGTTTTGCTTCCATTCCTCACTACAGAAAAACGTAACATCACCCAGACCCTTCCTTCAGCCCCGCAGGAGGTTAAGTCAAGAGATGGCCAGGACTGGGATTTGCTGGGGAGGGTGTCGCTTACCTGGCTCGTAACTTACTCACAAGCTTATTCTCAATTGAAAGACTGTTTCACACACAGCCTCCCTTGAAGCTTTTTGCAAGATGGGTAGAAATCAGTAGGTAGCTGGCTATGCTGACATTAAACTTTTCTCAAGTTACTCTTTTAAGCAACCACTCTTCAAAAGTGCTTTAAGTCCCAGAGTCTGGATATCCAGTTTTAAGAATAACTTTCCAAAATTTAGAATCCTAATTTAACTAAATATTTGACATTGCATACTTTTTAGCTCAGTGAAGACTTCTGAACCTTGCCAGAGACAGCAAGAAGTTTGCTTTTCCCTTCACAGAGAGCCAGCAGCTTTGGTAAAGTGCAGCTAACACAACTTTCTGTAAAAAGAGGCCATGTAGCAGGGTACTCCAGCTGGACAGAGAACATCCCCATGAGCTGTTTTGGCCAAGATGAATTCCTGCTACTTATGTTAGACATGTAAGTTAATAGCTTTCTAGTAAATACCTTAAAAAGTGCACAGTCTGGAAATCATTATGACTGAGGTAATGTGTCAGACTTCAGTAGAAATCCTAAGAATGTCTGTCACATGAAGTAACACCTAGGAGATCTCCAAATACCACAGCATAAGTTATACTCAGTTCTGCTGATAGGATGTACATAATTTCAAAGTTTGTAAGTATGTATGGTTGTTTTACATTGATTAAGCTCTAAACCAATTCCTCAGTTTCTTTGGATAAATAGTGCTGTCTCACAAAACCATACATGAAACCCTGGAGCAAAGAGAAATTTTAAATTTGTGCCATTCAATTCCCACTGTGCAGCTATTTCATTTTATGTTTGAACATGATTCGTCTGTGCAATACTTAAGCATTTTAATCTTCTGGTTTAACAAATGTACATAGTTTGCTCTATTTTATCAGCATGGCATGGTATTGTATCACTTTAAGTATTTATTTAAGTATTTACAATGCATGTTACATTACACAAACCAAACATCATTTAAAGCATGCAAACTATTCTGCAAAATCCAACTGAGGAAAGGACTAACACTAACTGGGTAGATAGGAGGAACAATTAGAGGGTAAAGGTGAGAACAGACAGAGCTATTAACAGTAGTAACAAACAAAATCAAGTCTTGAGAAGGGATCTGGCTGGAGAAAACAGGGACATTCGATGTAAATAAAGCAAAAGGCAGTGCAGGTATGTGCATGACAGCGGGCAGTAGGAAATAGTCAAGAGACAGAGCAGAGATTTGAGACCGTAAGGGAGTTCAGGAGCAAAGACAGCAAATGAGGACCAGGGTCTGAGCTGAACAGCACCTTGATCTCACTGCCCAACACGCTAAAGAAAACTTCAGCTCTTCAGTGAAAAGAACAAAATGGTTTTCTGCAGCAACATTGATAGCAGGAAATACAGGAAATGCAATCTAACGGGATGCAGATTTGCATGACTTTACTGAAAAAGTGGCATTTTTGTGGTGTTGCAAAAGCATCCAGCACATCCACCAGCTGCTAGTAATCTTTTGAACAGTGGCTACAGTTTGGTCAGTTATCCTATATGAATATTTGTGAAGTACACTTAAATATTATCAAGTAAGGTGTGAAATAATTCAAAATATAAATTAGCAAGGCAATTCAGAGATAAATTATATAGCACAGCTTAATGTCATCCCTCTGTATGCAGGGAATCATCCGTAAAAATCACAAGGAAACAAAAATGCATATTATCCAGCAGAGTCACTGAAGATAATGATTTTGTATTCATTTCTATTACTGACAAGTACTGTCACACTGTCCATTAACCGTATCATTAAGGCTCTTGTGCAATGAGACCTTAATTCTTGTCTTGTATATTCAAAAGAATCAATTCAGATTTAAATTTTCTGGCTTTTAAAAAGCTAGTAACTCAGGCTCAGTGATGTACCTTTCAAAGATTCCATTTAAAAGAAAAAGAAAATTATTATCTCAAGACAAACAAAATTTGGAGGTAACATTTCTGTCTGGAGCTATAATCGTTATCAATTGCCATTTTATCCAGTAGCACCAACTGTTCCTCTTGTGAAAAACACATTTTGGTAAGTATGTTAAATTTAAAACTAAATTGCGTTTTGCATGTTGAGGAGACTCTCTTTTATATTTCTCCTGCACTGCTATGTCTACAAGGGCATGGACTGTCCTATTTTTCAGGCTTATTCAGAGCTAAGATTGTTGGTTCTTAGCAGTAGTACTAATGAAGAGACTGCAGAGCTTTATAGAAAACATGCATAATATCATGAGATGAAATGATCACATCTCAAATGGGCAAACTGTGTTTGGGAGGCACCTAACCCAGCAGGCAACAAAAGCTGAAGACAACAGTCCATTCCTGAACAGAGCATTGACCCATTCCCATAATAACAGCACCTTCATGCTCTTCCCATAGCTATTTACCACCCTTTGCTACTTCTAGAGCAAAACACCTTTTGGCCAATCCCCTGGAAAACTCCTTACTATTCTGACTCTGGAAGCCTGTGTCTACCTGGAATAGCCTAAGGCTTTGGATTTTTCACACTCAAAACTATAAATTAGGCAGATAACATATGAAAAATAAGCTTTCTTTTCAGGCTATGGCAGACTACCAGTATCACAGTCACAGCAAAGACTAGAGAAACAGGTAATTTCCAAGCACAGACTCTTTAGGCTTCCATTCTCCGGGCTTTTTTGCTGCAACTATCCCATGATAAAATGCAATTCAGGCAACTGAGAGAGGCGTGAATGCATGTAACAGCTGCTAAAATTGTGCATTTGCCATTAAAATACTACTAAAATTAGTTGTGATTACAACGGTATTTATTAGTGATCATCCCAAGCACCACTGGGTTTAACTGCGAACACATTCGAAGCAACTTTAAAGACTACACATTAACCACTGGCTGTTGCATCAGCTTTTGTCCAACTGTGGGTATTGTTCTTCATAAATGAGGACAAAGCGACAGGGACTGTGGACAGCCTGTACCGCGCGGGGTTGGATCCATTGCATCCACAGGCACAGGCTGAACAGGAAGGATGAAGGAAGGGGAAGGAGCAGAGGAACACAAGCCTTTGCTTTATTTACCATCAGTCTGAATTTCACCTTATAAATCGTATTTACATACAATACTAACCTGACAACAGGGAGATGCTGCCAGAATATCATAGGTATACATAGTTCCCAGCTGGTGCCAGCTTCCATCCCATCGGGACTTGCACTTAATGCAGATAATTTTGTGAACCCCTTCTAAGCAGTCTACACAAACAGCATAGAGATGCATAAGCCTTCCTGTGAACAGGAAACACATTTCTTAAGGAAAATGTAACAGAAGATTAGAACAGTCATTTCCTGCAATGGGTTTTTTGCCCTTCAGTGTGATACAAATCATACCTTACTGATAACTTCTTTTTTTCAAAACAAAGGGATGAAAACAACTATAAAGTAAACAATAAACAACTCTTTCTCTGTGTTGAAAATACATATGGCTTGACTGAAACTATTTGTCCTGGATGAAAAATTACAGATTAATCTTCCCTCCTCTCATTTGCTGGTAAACTCTAGCAAAATATTTTATAAAAGGAGCTGACTATGCTATATGATCAGTTCTCAGGTTCAACTGCATAGATGATCCTCTGCAGTTCTTCCAGGCCAAGATACCTTCATCCCCACCTGATGGAGCATGTGGAGAAGCGTTGAAGCTTATTAGCAAGTTGGGTACAGGTTCATGTAACAACTTGACAAAATCTTTCAGCAAAGAGGGGAATAAGGACCTAATATTCCTAACGGAAGAAAGCAATTTTCTTTCATGTATTTTTTCCTGACCACTCATTTATGGTGAGTATATTTTAGAACATTAGATATGTATGCATGTGCATGCATGTGTATATGTATAACATGTAATGTTACATATACACAGATGTTAGTGTCATACAAGAATATGGATCTATTGAACTCTAACATAACATTCCATAAGCAAGATGACTTTCAAAAGATGACTTATATCGACTTTAAAAAAATAATCATTTCTGACTTCAAAATGAAATGTTTTGTCTACCTAAGTGCTAATAAACTTAATGTAGAATCTAAGATGCAAATTTCACACAAAACAAAAGGCCATACACAAATTACAAAAATCTGGCATGTAGATTAGGATTGATTTGTAGTAATTTAATTGATTTGTAGTTTAATAGTTGGCAATAAAAAGTGTGAGGGCTAACTCTGTAATGTACCATATTTTTCCTGCTACATCAGACCAAGTTAAGAGGTAATGCAATTACAAATCCACCACAAAATAGGGCTCTATTATTAATGTTTATCTTGGATTGCAATTTGTGCTCTTTAGCATTAAAGTGTTAGACATGTCACAGTTTGTTATTTCACGAACATACACATATTGTAGTTTTTCTGGGTATAAGGGAATGATATTAACAATCTATAATTAGACCACACCAGATATTGTAACAGCTGGTTTGTTTTTCGATTTGTTTTTTTAAGCCAACTATTTTAGAAAAATTAGAAGAAAAACAAGATTCTTCCTGACATAAATATACAAAATAAAATTGTCGCCTATGAACAGGTAAAATTGAGTTATTCCACATTAAAGCACTGAACTCTAGAAAATGTGATGTGAGTGAAGTGAAAATATACTAAGCTCCACTTTTTTAGTGAATACTTGAGATTAGACCTTTTCAAATAGTTCCATTGCACCAAAGTTTTTTGTTTCAAGATAAATAATTTTGTACCAAGATAAATAACTTTCCTCATCTGAAGGGAGGAATATGCATTGCTCTTGCATATTAAAATACTGCATTCCCTTGTTGTTTAATTTTGAATTTCCTTGTTGTATAGCAAAACAAACACCTGGTATCTTAAATATGCTTGAAACAAACAAGCAAAAAAGCTGTTTTCTTTACTATGAGAAAACAGAACCCTGGAACAGCACCTTGCAGCTTAAGTTCATTTCAAAATGTACTTCTGAAAATAAGCCATTTTACTCAGGTCGAGGAGGTAAGAATCTAACAATTAATTACTCACAGCATTTTGTCTAAGCAAACCTGCAGATATGTCATCCAATGAGTAAAAATACCCAATTAATAACAAAGAAAAAAAATTCTGCTGTTTCATTCTTAATGCTAAAGGTTAAGAACTGACAGTTTCACTATTACTAAAGCAGCTGTTAGTACCGATAAAATCACATGCACACTGTGCATGCCTCCCAGCAAAAACAAATAAGCACTGTTATCTCCCATATATATGTTTATCCTGCAGACTTTTTAGCTCATGTTTTTTGCCTATCGCCTCTTCTATTTAAAGTACTTTTGGCAAGACGGAAGCAATATTATCATTATGAACACAGTGTAGTGACTTAGGCTGTAGTGATTTAAGGAGAAAAAAGCAAATACAAGTTTGCCAAAGGAATACATAACATATACTATGATCATGCATGGGATATAATAAATTTTATTGAAAGGAGGAAAAGCTTGTATGTTGAAATACCTGCTGTTCATGCCTTCCCATTACAGCTTTTAACACAAAACTGTATGTTTTTGTAAACCAAACTACTACTCTTTTCTCTGACTTATTTTAGCCACACAAGCTGCAAATAGGCTGCAGGACAAAAACGTTTTGCAGTGTATCGCAGCACTCGTGTGCTTCAATCACTTAGTTTGGAAAAAACATTTCAGAAAGAGCTCCATCTCATCCTAATCCACAACTGCTGTTTCTTCTAGGACAAGAAAAATAATAACACACGTCTTGATCTCAACCCAGCACAGAGCCAGGAACATGACTAGGGCGCACTCGGACCAGGCAGGATTTGGAAGCAAGTTTGGATTCCCCACTCTACCGTTGCTACTTCATCCCACCACAAAAACATTTACTTTCACTATGTCCAATCAGTCCAGACCACAAAAATAGTCTTTGTTGGGCTTGTGTTAATGTAGGCCAGACTACCGTCCTTGCCAAATAAAAAAATACTGTTCTCACTAAAACAAAACTGATATTCACTGCTCTAACAAAAGATGAAAGGCATGACTGACTTGTGGTACAAACAGAACTTTCATCCAGGCTGCTGCACAGCATGCTCAAATTTTAAAGGATGATGTATGGCTTGGATTCAAACTCACAACATATAAATCAGTACCCATAAACTGCAGGACAGAGTTGCAGAAAAAGCTTCCTATGGTCTACCTATTACCCAGATGAGAAATTCCTTAGTTGAAAGGCTAAACACGAGGCATGAATCTTCCTACACAGCATCTGCTTTTTATAATTCCCTCCTTAGCATTTCAATCTGATTTGGATGATAATTTGGACATGACATCAGGCTTCACAGAATCGCTTGGTAAATGCAGAATCAGGATGCAAATCTGAAATGGGGTGGGAGGGAGCACAAATAGCACTTCCATTGGCTAGTGAGACCTAACATGACTGACAGACAACCTGTACCTTGAAGGTGACAGGGAACATCGTATTCAATTTCATCGTGTCTTGATGGGCTAAGAAACAGCGTTCCATCCACCAGCGGAAACTGTTCAAACACTGGCAGTGCCCTGTGGCAGAGCGCACAGTTTACAACGTTCCTGTGGCTGGCACTAAGAGCAGCAAGAATAAACTTCCGAAGGTCCTCCCCTTGGCCCACTTGGGCATCATCTTCCATCCGCACATGGAAAGTATTCAACTTATGCCTCGGTATATGCGTCAGAAGCTCAGAGAGATCAAGCCTTCTCAAAAACTGCACAGGGGCATCAAAGTGTCCTGACCGATGTGCCTGCAGACCAGCTGCCCCATAATCAAAATGTGCATTCCTGAACACGCCCCCACCAGCCATGTTCTTCTTGTGAGGCTCCAGGTGGATGGCATTCTTCAAAAACTCCCCCAAGTATCGTGAGGAGCGAGGGCCGCTGAAGTGCGTGGGGGCGAGAATAGAGTAGCCGGTTGGCGGGGACTGGCCGGGAGAGACGCAGGGGGAGCGGACAGCGTAGCCCCCGCTGATGACTCCCTTCTCCTGGGAGTTCTGCCTGTCCATCGAGTGCCTTCGCTGGAGGTCGTGACTTAAGCCTTTCTGGGGCTTGTTGGCTGGCCTGCCCTTTTTGGCCTCCTCTGCTGACTCCGCCATAGACCTTCCCGTGCTCTTCTCCAACACGGATTTCTTCTTCTTGTCATCCTGCATTCGCTTCACTTGGTACCAGTCAGTGTCCTTCTTTAGATGACCCTGCCCACATCGACAGGAACAAAAGCGAAAAGCAAGATCGTATCCCTTCTTTGTCCACATGTTTTGGCGACACTGCTTTTCATTCCAACTCCTCGCTCTGCCAATGCAGTTGAACTGGACAAGAATGCTGCTTTCCCACTCATAAAAGCACTGCAGATGCATCCAGGTGCTGTAAGGACAGTGCTCGTTGTTGCATATGACTTTCTGGTAGTCATCCTTCTCGAGGTCGACGGGCCTGCCGAAGCTGCAGATCAGTGGAGTAGCACAAGGGGCTTCTGTGGAACATAAAACAGATACATTAATAACTTCAAACTATCTGTGGCTTGCTGGTTGCGATGCTTGTTTAAAGGCTGTGTTAAATACAAACCCAAGCTCTTACTCATGGTCTGTATCATGAACATGCCCACAAGTACCAGCTCTGGGGAAGAATAAAAAACAGTCTTTGCTATTAAAAAAAATAAGTACATGAAAGGAAATAGAGAAATGTTGAGAGAAGGAAACAAAATGACTGTGCAGTCAGCTCGATAGTCAAAACACCTCAGGAGCATTAGCCACTCTCAAGGGTTTGTAGCTACATTGCAAAGGCAAGTGTAAGTACCAAGTACATGGGAAGTACGTGGCTATTTCTGAAGGGCTGCTTTGAAGCCTGAGGGACAACACAGGGAGAACACAGAGAGATGCTTGTTTGAAAAACAAGCAGGCAGTATAGGCTGCTGTGCAGGCATAAGGAGAGGCAGGAACCGATCTTTTCTTTGGAACGAAGCAAGAGACAAGAGGCAGGGAGAGGAACAGGAAGCAGAGGACCTTGAAAAGCAAGACAAATTGCTTATGTTTTTTACACAGAAAGGACAACCTTCATTACACTGTACATGCAAACAAGGAATATAGCACCTTTACTGACAAACTTGAGCTAAATTTCACAAAACAAGAAGTTCTGCAACGCACATAGGTTAAAAAAAAAAGCCACATAGTATTCTATCAGTAAAGCAGCAGCCTTTGCTATATCCTTCAGCAAAGGACTGTCCATTTCAATTCCCTCCTTGTAACATCATCATCTTCTACACGAAAACATCCTGCATTCGTGATTAATGACATGTTCCCCTCCCTCATCTGAGTACCACAGACAACACAGCATTCCAGTTTCTGCCTGCACAATTGCAGACACAAGGGAACAGAAAGGATGGAAAAATTTCATTTGGAGTTTCTGCTGATTTTGAACAAGAGTCATAGAATCACAGAATCCTTAAGGTTGGAAGGGACCTCTAGGGATCATCTAGTCCAACCCCCCTGCACACGCAGGGTCACCTAGAGCACGTGGCACAGGACTGCGTCCAAGCGGGCCTTGGAGATCTCCAGAGAAGGAGACTCCACAACCTCTCCAGGCAGCCTGTTCCAGTGCTCTGTCACCCTCACTGTTAAGGAATTTTTCCTTAATCACAAAGTTTAAGACGCTTAGTCAAACATTAAATATGGCTTCTGATTTCCTTCTCTGTATTTTTTACTTCCTACTTCCTCCATTTCCCAGAAGAAAAAAGTTCCAATAAGGGCTGGCAGGCCGCCTTTTTTTTCCTTTCTCTGTGTTTCTGTATTCAAATAACAGCACATTTCTTTGGGGTTTTTCCTGGTCAAGTGCTGCCTCACGCAGTGTGTGAAAGGCAGCAAACGGAGCTCTGGAATTCCAGAGTCTCTCAAGCAGAGAGCTCCGGGATTTGCAACAGAGATACACCGAGCCTCATGACTCCAAATTTCTACCTGATAAATAGGAAGAAAAAAAAAAAAAAAAAAAAAAAGGAAAAAAAAATAGCTTGGTTACATTGTTATTAGCACAATTACAATCACTGTTAACATGAATAATAGCATTTAATATGCACTGGGATTATAAATTTTAAGATGTTGCATTGATTTTACAGGTTTTCAATGACAGATATGGTACCCATAATCATCTGTGATACAGTAGCAATATACAAAAAAAAATGTTTTTAGTAACACTAGATGCTTGATATGCTAGTGTTTTTTTTCCCATTTCCTTCAACTTTCTGCTAAAAAGCTATAAACAAAAAAAAACCCAACAGAGTACCTTCAGAAAAGTTAAGATAACAGCACCTCTAAAGACTTGTTCTTTTATTCAGCATACAGGGGCACAAAGACCACAGGAAACTCTACCCGAGTCATTCACCAGGATTCGCCACATTCTTCACATCATTTGTGTGCCTCTGCTCTAGATGCCAGAAATGGCACAGTTGCCAGGAGTTTCCTGCAATTCCTTTCCTTCTGGAGCTGAGCTATAAACGGCGGTAAACATACATTCCCAAGAACATTCTCTCAAAGCAAAAAGAGCTTATGCCATAAATCAAAATATGAGCTTGTTTATAAACATCAGACGTAAAAAGGAAAAGAAAGACAAGCCACTAAATTGGAGATGATAGTGCTAGATGAGAGAAATATTCCCTCAGGACTCTCAGAAATTTCCTTCCACGTATGTTACCTCTATATTCTTACTAGCTTAGATATCTGAAAAGCCCACTAAGAAATGCAGTTTTTGAGATGTCTTTGAAAAATATCAATTTTATGGGCTGCCAATGACTAGATTTTCTTCCACGTTGCCACAATGTATTATTGAGGATACCATCACTGACTAAGAGCCAAGGAGCACAACAACTTACCTGTTCTGACCCCACATCGGTCAGCTTCCCAATCCCCACAGATCCCCCAGCCGTTCTCCGGGCCCTGAACACGGCTTTGATTCAAGCTGCACTAGGTCTCGCCAAGTGACTTGGTGCTGAATTTCTCTTCAGTCACTCTTAGTGTATTTAGGGTCTGCAAGTATAGCTTGCAATTATTCCATCTTATGCAACTTATCTCAGAGGAGCCAATTAAACTGCAACCAGGAAAAACAAACCTTCGCAAGTCAGATATGGAGCAAGATACAAGAAGTATGACTAGGAAGAGTTCTCATTTATGCATTGCCTGTATTTATCTATTTTGATACACACTCCTTTCCACAACTGCCATGAGGCAGAAAGAAAGAACACAGCAGAAGCCCAATTATGCTCATCCCATGTCCCGGAGTGTAAGTGTTGTAACATTGGTATGTATAATTATAACTGACAGCCCAGAAGTTAATATGCAGACAGGTCTGCAGATCTACTGCTTAGGAATAAGTATTTTACACTTGCTCATCCATAGTGCTAGAGTTAACTGTCTAAAAAAAGAAAAACATTTCCTTTACTAGTTTTTGGATATAGTCATGTTTCTTGGGTGAAAAAAAAGAAAACAAAACAAAACTAACAAAACAAACAAAAAAGTAACCTCCTGAGAAATAAAATATTTTTGAATCAAAAAATGAGATTAATAAGTGCCTAAAATACAGAAAAAAATAGTCACCCTTTGTTTTCCACAGAATGCTTCCTTAATATTTTAAAATCATGTTCTAAGTGCCTAAAGACTATTTTTAAAGGTGTCTTTGAACAGATTTTTTTCCCCTTTACACTGTTTCACCAACAGAAGGACTGTGAAATGTGATCTTCCCTTGCTTTTCCCTCCACAAGTTATTTATGCCAATATTAGCCTTAAGAATGTCCCAAATAACACAGCAACAAGCAACAAAAAGCTTTAAGTTTTGGGCAGTGATGTCCTTCTTTTTTTTTTTTTTTTTTTTTTTTTTACATTTTAGTTAATCAGATGGCACCAAAAGTTTACCAAGATATTTCCTCATCTGGTCTTGTATCTGCCCAGTACAAACCAGCTGGTCACAATGACAATGATTACGTAACCGTCACAGCAAAAGCACAAACGGGACAGCTGGAAGAAAATAACGCGGCAAACAAGAGCATCCCTACGCACAGAGGCCTCGCTGATTTGCTACACAGTGGCTCCGAGGTTATTCTGAAAACAGCCACATTCCTACCAGAAGGAGCTCTTCTTTACTAACCTATCCCGCTAGAATTTGCTTGAAATTTCCCTGCTCTCAGTGGAGCAGTAAAGCAAATACCTAAAATCCACCCAGTCTGTGCGCGCACAGAAGGGTTAGAGGTCCTGCCAGTCAGGGACCTGCACATTCTTCCTGCTCTTTCACTGACGGGAATTTACTATTCTGAGGTCTGCCGATTTTGAGAGCGCCTTGATGAAAATGCTGAGATATTTCCACCACAAAATCTAAAGAGCCAATCGCAGCTAATGAAAGTTGTTTCACTAGAGCCCCACCACTTCCGTAGTAACACAGTATTTAGGCAAGCACAAACCTCCACTACCTGAAAAGCACATAGAAATCATCCAACCAACATTCTGCTCTATCTAATATTTCAAGTTTCACCAGGTCTACCTGTGTAAAATACTCTTTAGTACTGAGCATCCCTTGCAAACTTCTCTCCATTCATGTCTCCTGCCAAACATAACCACAAAAATACCACACATCCCTACCTAAAGAATAAATGAGAAACGCAAGAGAAGGCATTTCCGTCATTTTTTTTTCCCATTCACAGCAACTGACTTGTCTGAGGAACAAAAGCACCACATTCAGATCACTTAGTACTAAAGCCACGCTAGCAGATGTGAAGACCTCTTCCCATCAATTCACAACCTTGAAAGTGCTCTCAGTTATTTGATCATCATTTTATAGATAAGACAATTATCTATATACATTTATCTATATATAATTAATATATATAATCTATATATATCTATGTAACTATAGATTAGACAATAAGACACCTGTTAAACTATTACAGGTAGTTTAGTCTTATGTACCATAGCAATTTTGTTCAATATTTTTAAAAATAGGTGTAAATGGTAGTACATAAATGCCCACTAAAACAGAAACAGCATGCAGTACTCAGAACAAGCACATATTTGAGAAAAGCTGGTTCATTGCTTAAATAAAGCATGTTCCTTCCGAAACACGAACATGGCCAAAGTCTGCAAAGAAGTCACCTGGGGTGATGGCTTCTTTCTGTTTTTCTCTCCAAGCTTAAACATCAATGGAAGTAGACAACTGAGATCAATCTCCCTCAACACAAAACACATTAACTTATATCTACAGGTAAAAAATGAAACAAAGAGGATAAAGGAAGCCTGCCCTTCCCACCTTCCCATCTTATGGCACAAGTGAAAGCAGAGGAGCAACAGCTGTTTGAAGAACTTCTATGTGACGGATCAAATGGGGGTGAATGTTGTTTACTTTCGTTTACAGACGCACTGAAAGACCAAAGATGCAACCAGCAACTGGCTGGCTCTAAGTTTCAGGCTCTAAGGCTCCAGTTTCAGAACTGCTTTCATTTATTCAAAACCGTTAAGTGCTCAATGCTTAAAGAAAC